CCTTCTTCCTTGTACTATGCTGAGGAAGAGACACATTCCCACCTCCTTGCTCCGTGAGGCTCAGCGTAAACACAGCTCCCAACATGGGATTGGCCCAGACCTCGCTATCCCGCCTCTCCACGTGACCAGCCGTGGTGCTCTCTCCCGGCTCCCAGCCAGAGGAACTGGGTCAGAGCTCACAGGCGAGGGCACTGCCCTGACCAGCTGCCATGCAGCACTTGTGACTCGAGCCACCCAGAGCAACTTCATATCTCACAAGTAGAAAGGATAACTGTCCTTCATGCTGCTAAATAGATGCTAGCCACAAGTTTGGGGAGTCTACCTAGCACCCCAACTTCCAGTAAGTTGACCACTGATCCACTGCTTTCTCAGGATGCCAGCTGCAAGCTCAGGACTCCATATAACACTCTCACTTCCTGACCTACTGGCTCTCACTGTGGCGGCCTAGGGGATAAAGAGATATGCTGCTAACCCACAGGTAAGTGGTTCAAACCCACCACCTGTTCTGTGGGAGAAAGTTGTTCAGTCCCCTCCCAGGTGATCTGTAGTCTCTGACAACACACTGCAGGGTCAGTCATGAGTCGGTTCCAAGCAATGAGCTGCTTTTGCTGATTTAAGTCATTGGAACAACTCACAAGACTGTCAACAGAACAAAGATTATAGGTGTAGGTACAGATTTATTATAGCCCAAAGGATAGATAGACAGGTCAAGGTCTGGTGGGGAGGTGTTCCCAACTCAGAGCTTCCTTGTCCCAGAGAAATCACTGTCCCCCCAAAAGCAAGTGTTCTTGTCGACCAGAAGGCCCTCTGAGCCTTGGGGTTCCAGACTTTCATTGGCTGGTTTCTCACGACATGCATGATAAGTTACATCCCCCAAGCTTGTTGATATTGGCCTCCCAGGTAAGTAATTTCAGGTCCTGCCAGACCCACCTCACCACCATGAACTTCAGATCAACCTGGAAGTCCCAGAGTGGGACCTCACTCACTCCAAGATGTAAAATGCAAAAATAGGCTGTCTTATTTTGTGCAAAACTAGGGTCTTTATCGCACATGCATTTTTCCTTTGTTTTGGTGCATCTGTCATGCAAAATATATATTTGCTTAAAAAAATATAAAAAAAACTAGGGAAATCTAGTGTCCAATCCTTAAGGAGTCACACTTCTCAATCTGTGTATTAATATATACAAAATGTAAGTATGTTTAACTTTAACGTCGCCGGGAGAGTCTTTGTTTTCCTCTTATAGTCTCTTGTTCTATCTCTTACTTTAAAATAGCTTACCAAGCAAAGGACTATAAGAATATCCTGCTGTACATATTTTTTTACATATCTATAATTTTTGGCTTATAATGTTTCTTTCTAATCCATTTACAACTTTTATGGTGTGAGACAGGAATTTAAATTCTTTGTGTTCTACCCCACTAATCTCCTTAGCTCTACTTATTGAATAGACCAAACTTGGCTCAATTAAAAAGCTCTCTTTATCATAAACTCTATAAACATGTTGGTTTTGTGTGCCATAGTGTCGAAACCAAGTCACAGCTGACCCTCGAGCGGATTTTCAGAGGCAATTAATCGCTCAGGCGGAGCTTGTCAATCCTTCTCCCATGGTGCAGCTGGTGGCCTTGAACTGCGTGCCTTTGGGATTGCAACGCAGCTTCTTGCCACAAAGCCAGCAGAGCTCCCTGTAGACACAGTATACATAGGAATTATTGTGTACTCAGCATTTCATATTTCCTAATATTGGATCATTTGGTTACTATCTTTCTCAGTTATGTTACAATCCTAATACATTTAGATTTGTTCAAATTAGCTGGTGTTGAGTCGACGACAACTCATGGAGACCCGATGAACCACAGATCTGGGCCCTGCCCTGTCCTGGGTCGTCCCCACCGTCTCTGATACGCTCCAGCCCTTTGTTAAAGTCACTGCTTGTTGAGGGTCCTCCTGTCTCTGACCCTTCACCTTTCCCAGCACGACGTCTTTTTCCAAGGACTGGTCCTTCCTGACAACATGCTCAAAGTACGTGAGATGGGATTTCATCCTCCTTGCTTCTAAGGAGCTCCCGACTGCACCTTCTCCAGGACAGATCTGTGTTCTTTTGGCAGCTCATGGGCTATTCAAAACTCTTCTCCAACACCACAACTTAAAAGACATCGATTCTTCTGTCGTCCTTATTACCCAGCTCTCAGATGCAAAGGAAGCGATTGAAAAGACCGTGACTCGGATCAAGCACACCTTAGTCTTTACACTGACATCCTTGCTCTTCAGCACTTTAAAGAGGTCTCAGAAGCCGATTTGCCCAATGGAACATTTCCACTAATGTCTAGTTAATGTTTTAGCATAACAGTTGGTGGTGGTGGTTGTTACTGTTTTCCCAGTGAAAGTGAGACCAATTGAAGGCCCAGGGTCATGGGATCCAGGAGGAGATGGAGGCAGAGAGCTGGCAGAGAGGGGCCCTCCTGTGGCCTTCTGCTTGGGGTGCTTGTTTCTGCATCGGCGCACAGCTCAGGAGTGCAGGCGGGCATGGCAGACAGTGGATTATCTTGCTGGGACTGCGTTTCCCGGTAAATTGGTGCAGAAAGGGCTCGCTGATGAGATCATGTGCTGATATGTTGATGCTGCAATTCAGAGGCAGAGCCAGGTGAGCATGGCCTCATCCTAGAGTTGTAGCTGAGAGAGCTCAGCCGCCCTCCAGCTGTTCCCCTAAGACAATCAGGCACAGCTGGGGGGGGGGCTGTCCCCCTGGGCTTGGCCTTGCGCTCTGCTGTGCTGGACGGCGTCACTGGGCTCACCGTGGGATGAGAGTCCCACCTGTCAAGATCTTTGCAAAGATCTGCATGTATCTCCTCGCTGAGGAGAGCTTAAGACGTTTGAAAATTAAATACCTGCTGTAGCTCATTGCAAGCATGTCAGATCATGGCTTAGTTTCTTCTAGTGATCATTAAAATAGATGCATTGTTTTAAATGATGAAGGTTCACTCGTCTGCCGTTGTGGAATGTAAAGACACTTCAGGGCCACGTGGGCAGGCTCTTCCCGCTAGTGATGTGTCTATTTGGTGTGTATGCCAAGAGGAGCTCACTGGTTTTATGGTTCATCTCTTGTGTCACATTTTTATTGGAAAATAATTACAGATTTACAGGAGGCTGCGAAAATAGTATAGAGAGCTTGTGGGCAGCCATTACCCCTGTTTCCAACCAAAAAATACCCCCCTTTTTTTTCTTATGTGTCTATACCTCATTATTAAAACCAGGAAGTTGACCTTTACACAGGATCACTAACTCCATGATGGACCTTCCTCAGAATTCACCTGCTTCCACATGGGTCAGCCCATATCTTTGCATATAGCTCCAGGATATTGTATCACATAGACTCGTGCAACCAGCAACATAATCAAATACAGAATTGTGTCATTACTAATAAAACTTCCTTATGTTACTTTAAAAAAATCCTATTCCCCCTCCTCCTCTAACTCCTTCTAGCCACTAACCTGTTCTTCATCTCTTTGGTTTGTCATTTTGATGATTAGAATCATATAGTATGTAACCTTTGGGGATTAGTTTTTCCTCCCACTCAGTGTTAAATCCTGAGAATAATAAAATTGTTGCCTGTATCAATAGTTACTTTTTATTGCTAAGTAATATTCCATAATTGTACTACAGTTTACTTATATAACTAAAACTATTTTGCTTGCTCCATTCTTTGTTACTATAAATCAAGCTGCTATGAACGTTTGGGTGTACGTTTTTGTGCAAAGGTAGGTTTTATTTTACTTGCACTGTTTAGTTTGTTTTACAGTAAATTAAGCTGCTGTGAACATTTCTGTGTGAACTTCTCTAGGATAAATGCCCAGGAGTGTGACCTCTAGCTTGTAGGTTAAAAATAAATTTACATTTTTAAGAGACTCCCAGGCTGTTTTCTGGAGTGTGATGCCCTTTTGCATACACATACAAAATGTATGTGAATGATTGAAACTCAAAACAAAAAGAGTTTAATAAGCGAATTTAAAAAATGCTTAAGCCTCAGAGACCCGATGGGGGGTTACCAAGAGTTAACAATCAGCTCCGTGGTAGAGGGTTTGGTTATTGGCTTAGTGACCAGCTGTGTCAAACATCTTTTCACGTGCTTGTTTGTATGACATACTGTGGTATCGAGTGGACAGATCTGAGGTTACCTTTTGTACATAGCTCCTTCTTCCACCGATCCTGAGGGAGATAACGCACTTTGGCTGCTCCCTGAAATGCAGCTTCTCCTTACTTCTTCATTAAAGGGAGGTAGTGTATTCACAGACTGACTGTCTCTCTCTCCTCCTCTTCCCTTCTCTTTATCTCTCTCTCTCTCCCTCCCTCTCTCCCTCTCTCCCTCCCTCCCTCTCCATCTCTATCTCTCCCTATCTCTATCTCTGTTTCTGTCTCTCCTTAGCACCTGGCTCTGAGTATCTCCCACAAGCCTTCCCTGATTTGTCAGGTCCAGCCCTAACCCCCCCTTTCCTCCAGCACATCACACTTGGTGACTTGGCCTCTCTTTCCATTTATTTCTTACTCTGCTCGTGGAACAGATTCCTGGGTAGGCCAGGCTGAATGCTCTCCGCCTGGACCGTGATTACAGAGCTGGCGGTGGTACTGAAGCCCTCTCTTTCATGCATATGGAGCCCGTGGGCTGTGTAAGCGGTTAAGGGGTGCACTGCTAACCACAGGTTGGGGGTTCCAGCCCATCCAGAGGCCATCCAGAAGGCCCGCTCTCTACTCCTCAAAACCCAGGTCTTGAAAGCCGTCTGAGCCCAGGTCTGTGCCGACACACCTGGCGGCGCCGTGAGCTGACATCTGGACAGCGACCAGTTGAGGCTCACATATGAGCCCTCATTAGCGACCACAGGAAACATCCGAGGTCATGCACCCCGACAGGGCCTGGGGAGCTCGCTGGTAGACCACAGTGCCTCCTGGGAGCACCCCCACCTCCTTAGCTAGCCAACTAACCTGGCTCCCTTCACTGCCCCCGCAGATGCTAAAGGAACCATCCGGGAAATCGTCCTGCCCAAAGGCCTGGACCTGGACCGGCCTAAGCGGACCCGCACTTCCTTCACGGCCGAGCAGCTGTACCGCCTGGAGATGGAGTTCCAGCGATGCCAGTACGTGGTGGGCCGTGAGCGCACCGAGCTGGCCCGGCAGCTGAACCTCTCTGAGACCCAGGTGAGAGTTCTGGGCAGCCCAGGTAGGCCTTGGGGTGCAGGGAGCATGGGTGACTTTGGGGAGCCCTCAGCTGTTGGGGGTGTTGTGTAGGGGAAAGACGTAAAGCTGCAGGCAACCAAACATAAATAAATCAAGACCCAGAGAAATTACTGTTGTTGTTTACCGTCAACCCATAGCTGACTCTCCAGCAGGTTTTCAGGGACTGTACGTCACACAGGAGGAGGAGGCTGCCTGTCGTCTTTCTGAGGGACAGCTGGTGGATTCAAACCACTTAGCTTTGAGGTGGCAGCAAATCTCTTTATCATTAAGTCACAAGAGCTCCCTGCACCGAGAGGCGTATGGCCGATGCTGACAGAGAGTCCTCAGGGCCCAGGATGGAAGCGGAGAAACAAAGAGCCAGAGAAAGCCTCAGTGAAAGGGGTGCTTCTGGGAACGCTTGGAGAAGGATGCTGAAGGGAGGCATTATAACAACGACTTAGAAACATCCGGAGTCCTCACCCTGGGGCCTCTCCAGCCTCCCACACCTTCCCTTCCTGCAAGGTGTCTGTTCTCCTTGTCGACACCCCTTCCACACGGGAACCTGGGCTCAGCTCCTTGCCCACAGGTCGGCACCGACTCCTCACTGGCCCACCCGGGGGTTTTCTGAGCCTGTAAATCTCACAGAGGGAGTTGCTCATCTTTCTCCCAGGGAGTCGCCTGTGGATTCGAACCACTCCAGAGACACGGCTTATGCATCAGCAGCACAGCTCGCCTGGAGAATCAGCGAGGGAGGGCTTGGGATTGTGTATGAGCACAAAAGAAAAGAGTTCTGGAAGCCAACCGCCTACTCAAAGAACAGCAGCGTTGTAAGGTGCTAATGGAATTACGTGACCGTGGGTCATTCTGAAGATAAAAATCACACTTTCCCGCCAACTCAGCTTTCAGGGATTCCAAGTCATGGTAACACCAGATGTGCTGGGGCCGAACTGCGCTCCACTGGGTTTTCACTGGGTGGTTGGCTTTTAATCATTTTATCACTAGACTTTTCTTCCAAACCATCCCTGAGTGGACTTGAACCACCCACCTTTTGGTTAGCGGTCCAGTGTATGGACCACTTGCACTCCTCAGTATTTACCTTGCCTGTTGTTGTGTATTGATGACTCAGAATGACTCACAGCTGGCCCTCCAGTGGGTTTTCAGAGGCAGTAAACTGCACAGGAGGAGACAGACCAGCCTTCTCCTGTGGAGCAGCTAGTGGATTCGAACTGTGTGCCTTTGTGTTGGCAGCTCAGTTCCTTAACATTAGGCCACCAGAGAGCTCCCTAGTACTTTCTTTAAATGTGCCAGTGCTTTGCACACACTAATTCATTTAACCCAGCCCAACATCCCCAGGGTGCAGGTGCCAGTACGAACTCCACATTATAGACAAGGAGTCCTTGTCTTTAAGGAACTTGTCTGAAGTTAGGACGAGTCCATCCAAGATTTGGATGAGCTGTCTGACGGATTTATGGACAACCTTTTTGAGTTGGTCCAAGAGTAACTCAGCGACCTTTTGTGTAACTACCAAACTCCATTGACACTGGCTCATAACTCTTGTAATTTCCTCTCCCAAGAGGACTGAACAAGGGGTGAGTCTCAAACAATGGACAAAATGTATAAAGGGAAGAGGAGAGAAAGGGCCCCTGGGCTCACTCTCTTTGGAATTCCTCCTGCTCCTCAAACTACACCGACAGAACATTGTCCAGCCCACCCACACGCCGGGTGGCATTACAGGTGTCCTGGCCCACGTGGCCCACCTGCAGGGAGGGCAGGCTTCTCCCGGGGAAGCCCCACACACCTGGGGCAGCAGAGGAGGAGCAAGGAGGGGCAAAGGGAGGAGGAGGGGAGGCTCGGGGTGGGGCAGGCCAGCTGGAGGGCCACTCTCTCCTGCAGGACAGATCAGGTCCACCTGGCCATTCCTTACCAGCTGCTTGCAGACCCTCAACAGCCAGGCAGATGGCCTAGGGCAGCTTGCCCTCTATCCTGCTGGACTCTGCCAGGCTGGTTGGAAAGCAGGTTAAATTTAGAGATGTACTTGGAGGGAGGCGCCCGCCGAGGCTAGGAGAAATGAGAGAGATGTCCCTCACCTTGAAGTCCAGGCGTGAAGGAAAGCAGCCAGGGACCCTCAGTTAGGTGGTTTTTAGGTGCCGTGGAGGCAGCTTCGACTCAGGGCCACCCTTTGAACAACAGATCTGAGCCTGCCCTGTGCCGCACCAGCCTCGCCAGCTCCAAGACGCCCCAGCTCCGCGTTCCGGTCAGCGTCTGTCCACCTCGTGGAGTGTCTCCCTCTCTCCCTCCAACCCTCCGCCTTTCCCAGCACGATGTCTTTGTCCGAGGACCGGCCCCTCCTGACCACATGCCCTAAGTCTGTACGACGAGGTCTCACCAGCCCGGATGCTAGGGAGAAGCCTGATTCCACTTCCTTCCAGACAGACCTGCCTGCTCCCTGGCAGCCCATGGGATCCTCAACACTCTTTGATAACACCGCAGTTCAAAGGCGTCAGTTCTTCTTTGGTCTTTTTTTTAAATCCATCATCCAACTTTCAGATACACAGGAAGCAACCAAAAATACTGTGTTTTGGGTAAAGCGCCTTGTTCTTTGGCACTTTGTAGAGATCCTTCATGGCAGATTTTCCAAACGCAGGACAACTTTTGATTTTTTGACTGCTGTGACCATGGGTGTTGATTGTGGATCCAAGACAGAGTGACTAGTTGGCAACTTCAAGCTTCTCTCCATCTATCATGATGTTGCCTATTGGTCCAGGGCGAGGATTTTTGTTTTCTGATGTTAAGATAGAATCCATAGTGAAGGATTGATCTTCTGCTGTAAATACTTCATGTCTTCTTTATTTTCTGCAAGCAAGCTTGTGTCATCTGCCAAATGCAGGTTGTTGATGAATCTTCCTCCAGTCTTGATGCCGCTTTCTTGTTCATGTAGTTCAGCTCCTCAAATGATTTGCTCTGCATACAGAATCGGTAGGGAGAAAGAATACACCCGTGATGCACACCTTTCCTGATTTAAAACCATGCGGTATCTCCTTGCTCTGTTCCAGTGACTGCTACCTACAGGGTTCACGTAAGCACAGTTAAGTCATCTGGAATTCCTATTATTCTCACTACTATCCATCATTTATTAGGATCCATGCAGCCAGAAGCTTGCATAGTCCATAAAATACAAGTAAATGTCACCCTGAAATATTTGCATCTTCTCTTCGTCCTAATCCCCTTCTGCCTCATGCACTGCTGTCACTAGGGTTGGGTCACCCAGGCCAGTTGTATATGGTGTCACTCCCCGGTGGGTGGGACTGACCAGCAGCCCCTCAGCCAGGCAGGAAGATCCACCCTCAATGGCTCTCAGCAGCTCCTTAGTCTCCTGTCTGCCCAGTGTCAAGTGCTCCAGCTTCACTCCCCCACCCCTCAGCTGCACGCTTTCTGTTGTGTAAAGGAGTAGAAGGGAGAAGGAATGGGGTGCCAGTCCTAGTGATGGCACGGCCTTGGCGCCCTTCCACCCCCAGGCTCTAACCAACCTGCCACTTAGGACCCTTTTGGGATCACCCCTCTGACAGAGTCACCACAGTCATGGTGCTGCTGACCTCACACAGTGTTGCTCCTAAACCCTGCCTGAAGCCACACTCCACAGTCAGCTCCGGTGGCCCTGCCCCCTCGTTCCTTGTGCTTCTCCACACGTCCACACGTCCTACCTTTACCTGCCCTGAGAGGGAGAGTCCAGGTCACTTCTCTCCCAGGAAGTGTTCCCTAAGACCTCGACCTCCTCCCAGAAGGCCTTTCCATAGTGGCTGTCTACACTATGGTGTGTGTGTGTGTGTGTGTGTGTGAGAGAGAGAGAGAGAGAGAGAGACAGAGAAACTAATCTGTACGTACTTCCCAGAGACAAGAGTCTACTTCAAAGCCACGTCTCCTCTCCACGAAGCCTCACCTTCCTGATTATTCCTTCCCTCCTTCCTCTGATCCCAGGTCAGGGGTTTCAAGAGGCTATAATAACTCTGTTGGTCTAGTGGTAAGAAGCTGCGCTGCAGTCCTGAAGGCATGTGTCTAGGACCCATCAGCTGCTGCTCTGTGGGAGAAGGACGGGCATTCTCCTCCCGTGCCGTTTACAGCTTCTGAAAACTCACTGGCAGGTCAGCTATGGGCCGGTTCAGACTCGACGGCACACAACAACAACGTAACTAACACACAGTTAACATTCATTGAGAGCTTCCTATACACCCGGCACTGTTCTGAGGACTTGGCCTTTTCTAACACACGTCGTCCCCGTACCGGCATAGATTGGCTTTTGCCCCCTTCAGAGATAAGGAACCTGGGCTCAGGGGCTCTTGAAGATGGTCCCTGGCCTGAGGTCTTAAGTGGGGTAAGTGCTGCCAGGCTAAGAGGCAGAGAGGCCTCCTGTGGCCACCACCCACCAGGTTCTCGAGGATCTGGTCAGAGGGCGTCACGGAGTGATTGGATTCTAAGGGTGACAAGCATAATAGTATTTTCTTCTCTCAAAAAAACAGAAAAGTGTTCTGGAACTTCTTTCCCACCCCTTACGGATTTCCCCGTCAAAGGAATGAAGTGTCCCCACCTTCTGCTGCCCTGCACCCCACCTCTGTCCCTCACAGTGTCCTCAGTGTCCTGCCTGGATTAGCCCCAATCCACACAGTGCCACTGCCCAGGACAAGTCAGGGACAGAAATGGAGAGAGCTTCAAAACAGATCAAGCAAGTCTGCTAAGGATTCATCCTAATTGTACATAAGGACAGATTGGAAACCTTTAAAAGTGGTCTCTCGCTCCCGTCGCTGAGGAAATAACTGCTCCAGGCCCCTCTGACAGCAGTCCTTGCCTGCTCAGATTTGCTGTTTGCTGTCTGTCTGCCCGCACTGCACCGTCCCCTCCACACAATAAGGACTGGCTCTGCTTGGCTCACCTCGGGTCCCCCAGCCTAGAACAACGGCCTGGTACGCAGTACTCACTGCTGCCGAGTTGGAATCAGCTCGTAGCTGCCTGTCCAGCGCGCTTTCTGAGGCTGTAACGCATATGGGGAGGTGATGACGGCCCATCATTCGTCCTCAGAGCAGCTGGTGAATTCGAACCACGGGCCTTCGGGTTAGCAGCACAACCTGCTTCCCGCTAGGCCACCAGAGCTCCCTCCCGCACATAGTGTTGTTGTTGTTGTTGTTATGTGCCGTCGAGTCGCCTGCGACTCATAGCGACCCTATGTACAACAGCCCTAAACTCCGCTCTGTCCTGTGCCAATCGCACTGTCTCTGACGCTCCCATCCCAATTATCCCAGTCACTGAATCAATCCACCTCATAGAGGGCCTTCCTCTCCTGCGCCGTCCCTCCGCCGTCCCTCCACCGTCCCAAGCATGATGTCCCTCTCCAAGGACCGGTCTCTCCTCACTACATGTCCGAAGTAAGTTAGACGGAGCCTCAGAATCCTTGCCTCCAAGGAGCCACCCGGTTTAACCCTCTCCAGGACAAATCTATTTGTTTTCCTAGCAGTCCATGGTATTCTCAGTACTCTTCTCCAGCACCACAGCTCAAAGGCATCAGTTCTCCTTCTGTCCTCCTTGGTCATTGTCCAACTCTCTGATGCGTAACAGGTGATTGCGAAGACCATGGCCTGTATCAGATGCACCTTAGTCTCCAGAGAGACACCACTGCTCTTCAGCACTTTGGAGAGGTCCCTAACAGCAGACTTTCCCATGGCAATGCGCCTTTTAATTTCCTGGCTGCTGGTGCCAAGACTGTTGACTGTGGAGCCAAGCAAACTAAAGCTGTGTACAATCTCAATCTCTTCACCATCCATCCTGATGCTGCCGATTGGTCCAGTGGTGAGAATCTTTGTCTTCTTGACATTGGGCCTCAATCCATATTGCAGGCTGCAGTCCTTGACACTCTGCAGCAGGTGCTAAATATTGACATACTAGGCATTGGTGAGATGAGATGGACTGGCATGGGGCATTTTGAGTCGGATGACCATATGATATATTACTCTGGAGATGAAAAAGTGAGGAAAAATGGAGTTGCTTTCATAGTTAAAAAAGCCATTGCTAGATCTATCTTGAAGTACAATATTGTCAGTGACAGGATAATATCTATACGCATACAAGGAAGGCCAGTGAATACCACTATCATTCAAATATATGCACCAACAACCAGAGCCAAGGAAGAGGAGATAGAAGATTTTTACCAACTTTTACAATCGGAGATTGATCGAACATGCAACCAAGATGCATTGATAATAATGGGTGACTGGAATGCAAAAGTTGGGAACAAAGAGGAGGATTCAGTAGTTGGAAAACATGGACTCGGTGACAGAAATGGAGCTGGAGAGAGAATGATCAAGTTTTGCACAATCAATGACTTATTCATAGCAAATACCACACATAGTAGGTGCTCCTTTATATTTGTTAAATGAATGAATCAATGAGTCAACCTCAAGTAGTTCACAGAACGTTCTGGACACTTTGGTTCTTGAAATTCGATCTAATCCTGTCTAAAACAATAAACTCCAATCTGTTTGCAATCTGACCTTCTGTGCTTGAAGCTGGTGTGGCTCGGGCCCGGGCGGAGCCGTTCGCACCTTCAACACCTCCCTCCGCAGCCTCCAGAGGGCAGTGTCTCCTGCCTGACAGCGGGCTGTGAGCCACCGGTCTCCTGGGGGCTAGGGAGGTGGGGGGCGTTAGAGACCTAGCCGTTGTTGCTATTGTTATTGCTGTTAGATGACAACAAGTCCACTCACAGATCTGAAGAGGCAGGTCTGAGCTAAGGTAGAGGCAGTGGACGTGAATAAGAGATTTCATAAATGTTTCAGAGGCAGATTCAAAAGAGCCAAGAGACAGAGTGTAGGGTAAGGCAGAGAAAGTCTGGAATTATTCCCAAGTACTTGGTTGATGGAGAGCTCTGGTGGTCTAGAGGTGCCCTAAGGCACAAGGTTCGAATCTACCAGCTTCTCCGAGGGGGGGGGCAGTCTGCCTCTGAAAACCTGCTGGAGGGTTAGTCCTGACTCCACGGCACACACCAACACGAAACGATCTGGTGTGTGGAGGTGGTTGAGCCCATCAACCGTGACTTACGGCGACCCTGCGAATGAGCTCTGACCCAGCCTGTCCTGCACCGGCCTCACGTCTCTGGCGGGCTCCAGCCAGTGGTTACGGTTATTGTGTCAGCCCCCTTGTTGAGGGTCTTCCTCTCCCCCCGATTCTCCACCTTTCTCAGCATTGTGTCTTCTTCCAAAGCCTGGCCCCTCCAAACAACACGTGCAATGCACGTGAGGTGACGTTTCCTCGCCCTTGACTCTAAGTGCACTCTGGTTGCATCTCCTCCAGGACAGACTTGCCTGTTCTCTCGGCGTCCGTGGGGATCCAGTCTTCTCCAACACCACAGCTCAAGGGCTTCAATTCCTCTGTCATCCCAGATACGGTTTTAAATAATTGAGTCCTTCTGGGGAGAGGCTTGGGAGGCACCCGGAGTCTTTGCCAGGAGTCTGCCGCTCAGAGCTCTCCCCGGAAAGGAGCCCAGGCGTGGTCCCCTGAAAGAAAGCTGCAGGGAGGCCGCGTAGCCTTTCCCTCGAGCCCCCACCCCACCTTCCTGGAGGCACAGTCCCCTGGGTCAGCTGTCAGTCTCCTGTGACCTCCAGTCGAGAATCAGAGCCACACTCTGTGTTCCTGAGGATATGGATGTACATGTTCCAGGGGTGACTTTCCACCAGGGGACTGAAGTTTTCTGGTTGGAGATACATGGTGGTCGCCCCTGCTTACAGACTCCTGGGGTCCCCACAGATGACTCTTTCGGCACCCCACTCAACTTCTGTTAGAGAAGCACGCCCCTGCGGAAGGAGAGGCACCCTCAGTCACCACCGACACCGTTGAGGGTGGTTGCCAAGTCTCCCCTCCCTGACAGGAGTCCAGTGGGCTTGGTGTGCTTCCGGCTGTGGAGACAGTTGGGGTGGTCCAGGAGGACAGCAGGACCTGGGGGCTGTGCGGGTGGCCTGAGGGGGCGGGAGGCTCGAGGTGTCTCTGGTTTCTTTATAGGTGGGTGAGAGTGCTCACAGAGCAAGAGGAGATGGGAGCTGGTTTGTCCACGTGGCATTTGGCCTTTTTTGAGACATTCACGGAGAAAGGTCTCTCTGGCAGTGGGATGTGTGGCCTCCGTGACCTCAGCTCAGGGCGGGGCGCAGAAGTGGGACTGACTCTTGATAGTGACAGCTGAAGCCATGACCTTGGCTAAGAGCAGAGGGCATGCATCACGGGGTCTGTGGACCTCAGTTGAATGTCACCACTCATCTACCTCGCGGGCCTCGGTTCCAGGCCAGAGCCAGAGCATAGGTTGTCATTGTTCTATGCCATCAAGTCAGAACAGACCCAGGGCTGGCCCTCCAGCAGGTTTTCAGAGGCAGTAAATTACACGGGAGGAGATTGCCTATCCGTCTGCTGTGTAGCAGCTGGTGGATTCAAACCACGAGCCTTTAGGTTGTCAGTGCAGCTCCTTACCATCATGCCACCAGAGCTCCCTTAAGCAGAGGAGGGGCTCACAGTCTGGGGCGTGTGGGATCCCTCATGAGGACCTGGCTGGTTGTAGGGGGACCTCAGTGACAATCTGCTCTTCTTTCTCACTTCCTCCACCCCCACTCCACCACCCCTCACCCCAATGTGCCCCAACCGTGTCTCCTCCACCTGCTGCCACCTTGTGCCGCCCTTCCCCCGCCTTCCTCCCCTGCTGCTCTCCTGTGCCCTCCCCCTCCCCCCAGGTAAAGGTCTGGTTCCAGAACCGCCGCACGAAACAGAAGAAAGACCAGAACCGAGACCTGGAGAAGCGGGCGTCCTCCTCGGCCTCGGAGGCCTTCGCCACGTCCAGTATCCTGCAGCTGCTGGAGCAAGGCCGGCTGCTCTCGGCGCCCCGGGCCCCAGGCCTCCTGACGCTGACCCCCAGCCTTCCAGGGCTACCTGCTAGCCACAGGGCCACCTCCTTGGGTGACCCCAGGAACTCTTCCCCACACCTCAACCAGCTGACCGCCACCTCGACGTCCCCCCCGCTGCTGCCCCCGCCGCCACCTCTCTGCTTCTCAGTGACCCCCCTCCTGGACCTGCCTTCTGGGTACGAACTGGGGTCCTCGGCCTTCGAGCCCTACGGCCAGCTGGAGCATAAAGCAGGTGTCCCTGGCAGCAAGAAGGCTAATGCTTAAGGCCACCGCCACCATCCCCACGTGACACTGTCCCCAAGCACAGCACCGTCCTAGCCTCCTGGGGGCCTCGGCAGCGACATGACGTGTGACAAACTGCACCAAAGAGCCCCCGAGAGGCGAGTGGCCTGGCCACCACCGGGCCTCCCACACCCTCCGTCCAGCTGAGACTCTGAGCAGACGGCCTTGGCCCTGCAGCCTCTGTGTGTGAGTGCAGTGTGCGTGTGTGACCCACAGAAATAAAAGGAAAAACAATGACAAGGGCAGCAGAGGCCCGCCGTGCCATCACCGCTCCCATCTCCTCCTCCCCGAGATGCACGCGGGCTCCATGCTCATCCTTGTCCAAGGAGCGGGGAGCCCAGTGATAGGCAGATGACCCCCATTCCCAGTCACAGCCCGCCCCAGACCTCCACACTCACTCTGGTGCTTCCTCTGTCTGCTCAGCTTCCTTTGCAAGCTCCTCTTGAGAATGAGCTCGGGTGGTCTAGCGGTAAGAAGCTGCGCTGCAATCCCAAAGGCACGTGGTTCAAATCCACCAGCTTCTCCATGGGAGAAGGATGGGTAATCTCGCTTGAGATTGACCGCCACGGAAAACCTTCTGGAGGGTCAGCAACGGGTCGGTTCTGACTGGACAGCACTCAACAACAGCTTGCAAATATAAAGACCCTTCAAGAGGGCGGCGATGGAAGGCAAGGCCGACCCCAGAGAGGGCACGCGGACATGAGACCTCACGGGCTCCCCAGAGTCTGTCCAACGTCACAAACACTGCAGGTGGAAAGCAGAAACTTTTGGGGAGGGGGTACAAGTAAGATGATTTTATTTAAGTTTTTATTTTTAAAATATTTACAGACTCACAAGAAGCCCCCAAATACAGTACCGAGAGGCTGTGGGTGGTTTTTCTTCCTGTGTGTGCATGTGTGTGAGTGCACAGTCTGCACGGTCCCCTCCCCACAGAACTCTCCCTTGAGCTACCAGTTATGGTCATGTGCTCCCTCCCTTCCATACAAGACCAGGAGGGTCCTCTGAAAGCCGAGGCTTGGAAGCACCCCCCCAGGCTGGACGCCAGCATGGAGATTTAGGCTGTCAGGAGCGAGAGAAGCCTTGTCCTTTGTGGGAAGCAGAGTTACTCCTGTGGCTTCCAGGTGACCCAAACCACCCAGTATGCGGTGCTAGGTAACGAACAGGGAGCTCTGGTGGCCTAGTGGGTAAGGATCTGAGCTCACAACCCAAAGGCAGGTGGTTTGAATCCATCAGTTGCTGCTCAGTGGGGGAAAAAATGGGCAATCCCCTCCTGTGTGATTTACGGCCTCTGCAAACCAGCTGGAGGGTCAGCTATGAGTCGGTTCCGACTTGACAGCACAAGACAACACCAGATGATACAGGTCCTCAGAAAAATGCATCTCTGCTATTCTTTCCAGAAGGGTATCATGTATGGAGGTTTTTAAAAACACCAGTCTATAGGGATGTGGGAGGAGGCCTGAGGAAAGAGTCAGTTCATGCCTTCAGCTCCCCAACCCTTGACCCTTCAGATCCATACCCTGTCAGCAGCCTGGGGGGAAGCACAGCTCCCTCAGAATGAGGAGGGTTCCTGAGAAGCAGTGGGAAGGTCTGAGTGGAACACAGTCCAGAGTGTGGATATAGCTAGAGAGAGAGTGAGTGTGTGTGTGTGTGTGTGTGTGTGTGAAAATACAACAGAATATCTGCCAATCCAATGATTTCAACACATAATCAGGCAGCACTGATGACTGTGCTCTGACCGCCCTGTCCACGACCCCACACACTGAGACATCCACGGACATACAGATGGGGAGCTGTCCTGTCGGCCTTGACATCAGCGGCAGGCTTGCTGGTGGTGAAATTCAAAATTAGAAATGATCCTAAGATGAAATGGATGAGCCTTGGCTCCAAAGAAGCTCACAAAGCTTAGGAAAGGTCCAGGTCTGATGGGGAAGACACAGGCCATGACCTTGGGGATCACAGTTGAGTAGAGGTGAAAAGATAGCCCCACCCCAAAGCTGATATAGAAAAGAGACCAGGGTGTGACGAGCCCAAGGTGAGGGTCACTGCAGGTATCCGGCTGCCCAAGAAGAGGCAGATGGGCCTGCAGGCTAGAGCATTCAGGGTGGACTTCCTGTAGGAAGTGGCAAGGACGTTGACTCAGAGACAGAAATCTTACGTTTCCATATGTGTCTTTTTTAAAAGATTAGGATAGAATTTGAATAAACAAGGATGCAACCAGATATACTCTGGGTAGTGATGTACAGACTGGGGACAGGCTAGGGGGTGGGGCAGTGAGGAAAGAACCTGAAAAAGGACTGCCAGCTAATGATGCAGAGAAGAGACCCCAGGGTGAGATGTGGTGGTGAGGTTGGGCTCGTAGGGAGACCTGAGATTCCAGAAGGCGGGACCAAGGCCAAGCTGAGAGTGTGCTGAGGACAGAACACCCCAGGACAAAGGTAGAAAGATCCAGGCTTACCCCACGCCCATCCCCTCTCAGTCTTCCTCCCCCCAGTGCCCAGACTCCTCAGAGCACAACCCTCAGCCCCAGAATAAATGAGGAGGGCTCCTGGGGAGGTCCTGGCTGGAGACAAGCCCAAATGTGGACATGGCTCTGTGTGTGTGTGTGTGTGTGTGTGTGTGTGTGTGTTAAATATGCACACCATGATATTGTCAAAGTGCCATTGAGTTGAATGTGACTCTTAAGAACGCTGTGAACAACAGATCCGAGCCCTGGTCTTTCCTGCACCATCCTCGTCATCTCAGACACGCCTGAGTCCGTGGCTGCAGTCTCTGTGTCAGTCCACCTCTTTGGCTGACCCTCCACCTTTCCAAGGAACAGCCTCTCCTAGAAACATGTTGGGGAGCTCTGCTGGCCTAGCGGTAAGAAGCTGCGCTGCAATCCCACAGACACGCGGTCCGAATCCACCCACGGCTCCACTGTAGAAAGATGGGCGATCTCCTCTCATGTGATTTGCTACCTCTGACAACCCGCTGGAGGGCTCAGCTATGAGTTAGTTCCAACTTGATGACACACAACAATAGCATGTTAGCCTCTTGTAACAGGGCCTGTGACGTGCACCTTAATACCTGCCAGTTCAACCCTTTGGCACACATAATTCAGTGGCATAAAGATAACATTCGTATAGCTTGATTTTGAACTCCAAACACTGAGGCCTCCAGGGCCCTCTCCCTGCACCTGTTGTGCCCAGGGCCTGCAGAGGCCAGGTGAAGGAAGCAGGGCCCCAAGATGAGAGGGAAGAGGCCAGAGCCAGCTCTCAGCTTTCCTGTTTACGGTCAACACTGCGGAGGGGAGGGGAGGGAGGATGGGGTGGGGTGGCCCGGAGCAAACCGGCCCTCTCTGGCTTCAGCTGGGTCTGGGTATAGAGCCAGCCTCAGGCTCAGTCCCTCAGCTTGCAGCCCTCCACCCAGCCATGGCCATGAAGGTAGACACGACAGGGGTCCCTGGCCGTGACTGCGACCGAGGGGCCACCAGGGAACACATGCAGGCGGTCACTCGGAACTACATCACCCACCCCCGTATCAGTGAGTACTCCCCCAGCTGTGTGGGGCGGACAGCTTCCTGGCTTCAGGAGGGGACCCCAGCTTGAGGCCCAGGGCTCCCAGGAGAATAGGGTGGGCACCTGGGCAGTTGGTGGGATGGAGGCTGCCCTGCGAGGAGGCCTCCTCACCCCACTCCTGCACTAAGACCACACGCACATTCAGCTCTGCTTCCCGCCAAAGCCCCAGCCACCAGGCAAACGGCGAGTGCTGTGTGTGCAATGTGGAGTACGTGTGTCCTTGAGATGGGAACACACCTGGCACTGAGTGTGCCATAAGGAGCCCGGTGGTGCCGTGTGTTATGTGTTGGGCTCCCTACTGAAGGGTCCAGGGTTCAAATCCACCAGCTGAACTGAGAGAGGAAGACCAGGCTTGCCATGGAGATTGGCCTTCTCAGGAACTCCATGGAGGGCTGTGGGCTTGGACGTGTGTGTGTGTGTGTGTGATTGGGTGTGTTGTTGGGGGGGGGCGTGTATAATTGGTTAAAAGTCTGTGTATGGGGAGGGGGAGGTTCTGCTCCACCACTTCTTAGGAGAAGACGTGGCAATATTGGGGTGACCACTTCTTGAGAGTGTGTATGTGTGATCAGTGAGGAAGTGTGCATGTGTGTGAGCTTGTACACCCAGGGGGTGTGTGGGTGGGTGGGTGTGGGTATGTGCGTGTGTGTGAGCTTGTACACTGTGTGTGTGTGTATGAGCTTGTATACCCAGGGTGTGTGTGTGGGGTGGGGGTGTGTGCTTGTACACCCAGGGTGTGTGTGTGTGTGTGTGCTTGTACACCCAGGGTGTGGGGGGGGTGTAGGGAGGTGTGAGCTTGTACACGGGGTTGGGGGGTGTTGGTTTGGGGTCATGCTTCTGATCTGCATTTGGGTGCCCAAGGGTAGAGACATATGTGTGCCTCACAACACTTCATGTCCCTAAGTAATGGTGTGTGTCCACGGGGGCTGGACAGGGTGTAGGTTTCAGAGGGGTGGGTGGCCCTGGATGTGGCCCCTGGCAGCAAGCAAGTCCCATATTCTTCAAGGAAGGGTGGCTTCTCCCCCGCCCGTGGTGCCCCATCTCTCCTTGTCAAGGTCACGCTCCCAGACCTGGTATATTCTAGAATTCTCCACAGTCTACAGTCCCCGGTTTCCAGAGTAAACCGGCCTGGTCAGCCCTGAGGCATCTAACAGGGAGTGCGGTGGGGAAGGTGGGCCCAGTACACCAGCCCTCCCCCTTCCATACTCCTCCTCCCACAAGGACACAGCCCCTCAGAGCAGGTGAAGAGGGGCCAGGCCCCTGAGGCAGAGCTGAGTTTGGGGGCTGGGGTACTCTCAAGACAGATGCTGAGAGAGGAGGTGCATTCTAGATAGAGAATGTGGGTGGGGTGGGGTCATGTTTATCAAGGAAGCTGCGGGCCAGACCTGAGGTCACCGTGACCCAGACAGACTGGGTGGCTGGACTGGAGAGTAGTGTGCAAAGTGGGTGGTGAGACCGGCAGACTGCTCGGCTGCTGACCAACAGGTGGAAAGTTGGGGTCCACTCAGAGTTACCTCAAAAGAGAAGGTCGGGTGATGTCCCTCTAGAAAATCAGCAGAGCTTGTCCTCTCATATCCGTGGGGTCACCATGCGCTGGACTGGGTGACAGCTTTTCTAGTTTGGATCTCGCTGGGTTCACACAAGCCACCCCTGAGGACACACTGCTTAAGTGCTTGGCTGCTTACTGAAAGGTCGGTGGTTCAAGCTCGCTGGCTGCCCCGCCAGTGGCAAAACAATGGAGCAGTCTACATCCTTAAGAGACAGCAGCCAGGGGAACCAACCCCGTGGGCATGCACTCCGTCCTACAGGTAACCAGGAATCAACTTAGAGGCAGCAGGTTTGGGGCTGAGGTCCACCGTGAAGGGTGGCCCAGCCTCCAGCCTCCTCCCTGCCCCTGTCCCTGGAGGAGCAGAGATTACACATCTGGAGCCCCTAGCTCTGGCCCCACAGGGACCCTCTCTCTTCTGCTCTGACCTCCTCCTCCTCCAGGCAGCCGCTCTCAGGGACAGCCCGCAGCCAGCTCCCTCCCAGTCAGCCCTGTTTATAGTCAGTAGACTGGCACAAAGGAGAACATTCTAGAAATCCTAACCTAGTTTAGCCTGATGTTTGTACCCTTCCTGTGACAGTGACTTCATTTGGCCCCTCCAAGCTGTTGGATATAGACCTTTCTCCGGTGTTCAAACCCAACAGTTGACAAAGGTTGGTACAGGCTTTCTTGCTGCCTGGCTGTGTCAAAGATGGTATTACAATAGTCAATGCTGCTGCCTTTGCTTGTGCACTGTGGGTCCTTCCAAAGGACACCCAGAAGTCCAGTGCAGATGTCCTGCCTAGCTCCAGGACAGCCTCTGGATTTCTGTCTTCCCTTTTCAAAGACCTGATGAGAAATGATGCCAGTTTAAAGACTAAGGTGCACCAAATTCAAACCATGATTTTTCTAATCACCCGCTATGCATCTCAGAGATGGAAAATAAATAGGGATGACAGAAGAATAAATGCTTTGAGCAGTGGTATTGGAGAAGAGTACTGAATATTCCATGGACTTCCGAAAGATGTGTCTTGGAGACGGTGTGGCCAGCGTTCCTATTGGAGGCAGGATGGTGAAGCTTCACCTCATATACTTTGAGTAGAAGAGGCTTTTCCTTGGAAAGGGACATCACGCTTGGAAAGGTGGAGGGTCAGCAAGGGAGAAAAAGACCCTCAGTGCGATGGACAGACACAGTGACTGTGGCAATGGGCGCGAGCGTGTCAGAGAGGATGAGGATGGCACAGGACAGGGCAGGGTTCAGATCCGTTGTTCACAGGGTCGCTGTGAGTTTTACGTGATTCGAGGGCACCTGACAGTAACAACAGCCTCCCACGCAGGGAGGTCTGTGGGCCCCGTGGTACGGAGCTGTGCTGCCAAGCTGGAAGCACGTGATTCCAATCCACCAACTTCTCCGTGACAGAAAGATAGCTAGACCTCCTCCACCTGTGTGATTTACTAAAACCTGCTGGACAATGACCTATGAGATATCTGGTTTGATTTGATGGCACACAGATATCAACAACCTCCCAGGCAGCTGTCCCACCCCCCAGCCCCACCCCCGCAGGGGCTGTATCCTTAGATGAGCGGTGCGGAGCAGGATCTGAACCCCAGGCTGGGTTAGTTAGGACACAGCATGAGCAAAGAAGTGGTGCAAAGGGCTGGCCGCCTGGCGGAGGAGGGACAGAGCCAGGTCAGGTCACCCAGGGCTCCAGTGCCAAATCACTGGCCTCTGGGTCTCCTCAACCGGAGAGGAAGGTTCCACCGAGACAATTCCATCCCCCAGGCCTTGATCTGATTCTAAGACCCCCACATGCAGCCCCTGCTGGCCCTACCCTAATCCCTGTGGGGGGTGGGGAGGAGGTGCTGCCCTCGGGCTTGCCCCCATCCTGGCCTCACAGCATGAGTGCCCAGCTCAGCCCTCTCCCCGGACGCTGCAGGTGTGGCTGGCCTGGCCCTAATTAGTGGGCTGCCCCGAGCTCCTGCTGGGCCTTTGACAGGGAGGGCGGTGGGGAGGGGCTCTGCCTGGCCCTCCAAGTGTCAGCTAGGACAATGGGAAGGAGGTGGGCAGGGCGGCTGGAGGGAGTGTCTGCAAAGTCTCAAGAAGCTCCCTGTGCTCTGCTCTGTGGTGGCCATGACCCGGTCCTCAGTTTGCCAGTGCGTATAGTGGACACAGTGAGAGTTGGGCACGGATTCCATAAAAGACTGGCCTCCAGCAGCAGCTCCTCAGGGCTGTGTCCACACAGCATGGACTCTATGAAGAGATAGTGGGTTAGTCTGAGGTCTGCCCTCAGGGGAGAGACCCCTGTCTGAGACACAGAGACGCTGTGACACAGGACTGCAGAGGGGAGAGGACAGGGGGCTGCAGCTGTCTTTAAGGGCAAGACCTTGAAGGACATGAGTAGCCAACCCCACCATGAGGAACACACACACACACACACACACACACACACACACACACATGTATAACTGCCCACCACTGTGTCAGAAGCCCCGCATTGTGTGTTCTGTGCCTTCTAGAAGAGCCTGGAAAGGCAGATTATCCATGAGGCTGGTTCTGGAGATGGGAGACCCTGGCCACCTAGTGAGTTTAGCTTGGGGAATTGTGGTTTTGGCGAAGAGTAGGGAATTTCACCCACCAGACCTCCAAGAGAACAAACACATCTGTGTTGGAGGAAGTGCAAGCAGGGTGCCCCAGAGTCGAGGATGCATGTTGTCAAGAGGGCCTGCAACTTGGAAAAAAGACATCATGCTGGGAAAGGTGGAGAAAAGAGAAGACTAAGCTGGGCCAGCGGCCAATCAGAGATGCTGGGGAGGCGGCGGGGTGGGGCACAGTTGAGATTTTTTTTATAGAGTTTCTATGACTCGCACTGGACTCAGGGCCACCTAACAACAACTGACTGCAGTGTAGAGTTTTGTTGGTTTGGGTTGTTCTTTTTTGGTTTGCTTGATTTTTTTTTTTAAGTCCCTGGGCTATTTGGTACTCTTCTCCGACACCACAAGTCAAAGGCACTGGTTTTTTACTCTGTCTTGTTTATACAACGTCCAGCTTTCAGATGCGTAGAAAGCAACGGGAAATATCAGGGCTTGGATTGGGCACACTTTAGTCTTTAAACTGACATCGTTGCTCTTTAGCGCTTTGGAGAGGTCCTTGGCAGTAGATTCTCCTAACTCACGAGACTCTGATTTCTTGATTGCTGCTGCCATGGGTGTGAATTTGCATACCTCAGGGCCTCTTTATTTGTCCGGCCAAGGTGCGTAACAGATCAGACTGCTAAACTTAAGAGGCTGACATTTCAACCTAACAGCCCCCTTCAAGGGAGGCACATAGGTGGTCTCCTCCCAGAAAGATTTTTTTCATCCGAAACCAGATGATGAAGGTTGCTGTGAGTTGAGAGTAACTAAATGGTGATAGATATGAATTCTTAATCAATTTCTCCAAAAGACACCTGAGGACAGAGGGGGACGAGGGCCAGAAGGAATGTTCATGTTCGTTCACTCAGGGAGAGTAGCCACAGGACCTCCAGCTTCCAAAGGATCTAGAGACACAAACAGGGGAGGAGGAGCTGGAGAGATGAGGGAGTGAGGGGGCCTGGGTGCTATGAGGGGAGTGGGCCCTGGCTCTGAGTAGGTTTAGTCACTGGAGGCCAGCGGTGGTCTAGAGAGAGGACAGGCCTAGAGGTGGCGGGCTGGGGAAGGTGAGAGCTCCTGGGCACCTGAGTTTACAAGGAGCTGAGCGCTGAACGAGAGGTGGGAATCAGGACTGGGCCTCAAGGTGATCAGCTGGTCTGAAGGGAAGACTACGGAGGAGGGAGATGGAGGCAGCTCACCCAGGGACAGGCTCTCCAGCGCCTGGCTCCAGGGCACAGGGAGGACAGACTGGCTTAAGCTGTAAGGTGGGACACCTCCCCTGATTGGGAGTAACAGTAAGGCTTGAGAACTGAAAACTGAAGTTCTCCTCTCTCACCAGAAGCACAGAGTCTTACCATCCTCTGTACCTCCAAGCACCTCAAAAGTGCTTTGGGGTACTCCTCCAAGTACCCCAGAGAATTTCCAGAGAATCCTCCCCCCCTAAGATTCTTGGAAGAATCAGCCTGCCCAGTTAGTGTTCCACGTCCACAGCAAGCGAAAGGGACTCAGACCAGACAGAGTAGAGTGGTCGCTGACTTCCAATTAGGGAGGGTGTGGGTTATGTGGTTTTTAGCACCCTTCTGGCCTGGGGTGGATTGAAACCAGGCTTGCTGGAACATCCTTGGTATGAGACTGTGTGGTCTGATGGGAAGCTCCCAGGACCTGAGGCACCAGGTGGGCTGGGGGTGGGCAGCCCCAGCTCCGTAACAGACATCCTCTGTGACCCTAAAAAGTGAAATACCAAACCCATGACTATTGGACTGATTCATGGCATCCCCAGGTATTTCAAACTAGAAAAGCTCCAGAGTTTTCTCGGGAGCCTGGGTGGCATAGTCTGTAGGGAGAAACACTGTTAATTCAAAGGCTCCTCCTCTCTGGTGGTTCGAATCCACCAGCAACTCCTCAGACAAAAAGATAACTCTCCCTCTGTGTGATTTACAGCCTCATAACCTTGAGTGAGGCCTCCTTTTCCTCAAGCATGACAAGTGGCTGGCTCAGTCCTCGCGGAGGTCCTTGCACCTGTCATCCAGTGACCCTCCATCTGGGCTGTCCCCGGGGGCAGGGCTGTGGTGTCTGGAGGAGGAACTATGCCAGGGTCTCAGCTAACACCCAGCAGAGCCGGCTTAGGATGGGTTGGGGATCGGAGGCCTCATCTGTCCACCAGAATTCGTGGTCACTCCCTGTTTGTGGGTCTCCCCCTCCAGCCACTAAGTCTGTGGATCTTCAGCTTCTTCCTCCTTCCTGAAACCTCCCTCGCCTGCTGGCACCCTGGGACCCTCCTGGTGGTGGGAAATGGCGAGGGGCCCCTCTGTCCCTCCTCAGCACCTGTGACCCCTCCCAGCCCTCTCCCTGCAGCGTGCTTGAGCAGTGAGGAGCTACGGAGGAAATGTGGCCAGTGAGGGGCAGGGAGGACAGTTCCCAGCCACAGCTGGGGGCCAGAAGCCTTTCTCAAAGGGAGTGAGTCAGAGAGCAGGGAGGAGGGCGAGGGTCCAGCGGGGGTTAAGCGGCATTAGGGAGCAGAAAGGCCCCTGCACGGCTGAGGGAGCTCTGAGGAGGCCTCTGCCCTCGCTGGCCCTCCCCAGCCTCCTGCAGGTGTCTGGGCAGCGGGGGCCCTGCGGGCAGGGGCATGACCCTTACAGCAATGGTGGCTGGCCCTGTCACAGCTAATGACCCTGATGGCCCAGGGCGCAGGCTGGAGAGGAGGAGGCGGGGTGAATAGAGCAGAAAGACAGATGTGTGTGTGTGTGTGTGTGTGTGTGTGTGTGTGTGTGTGTGTGTGTGACAAAGAAAGACAGCTGCTGACACTGGGCAGACCCTCACCCACCCTGCCCTTCCCCCAGCCTACAAGACCGTGTGCAGTGTCAATGGGCCCCTGGTTGTACTGGACCAAGTTAAGGTAAGACCCCCCCCTGCCCCTTCCACCTCTGGAGGGATTGCCCACCCAGGCCAAACCCCAGGATACCCTTTCCTCTGTAAGCATGCCCCTTTTCCTAATAACCCCAAGGGTCAGCCCTGCTCTTTGTAACATACACACACACACACACACACACACACTCTCTCTCTCTCTCTCTCTCTCTCTCTCTCTCTCTCTCTCCTTTTTCACCTTTCTCAGTGGGCCACACAAACCCCACCCAGACCTGGCCCCAGGCCTTAGGAAACCTGCTTTGACCACAGATGGGCTGGAGCATCATGGGTCTATTGTGTGGTACCTCCTTTTCTTCACCATCAGGAGAAAGGCTGTGTCTGACTCTGGTGGTACAGTTTGTAGGGCATTGTGCTGCTAACCTAAAGGCTGGTGGTTTGACTCCACCAGCTGCTCTGAAGGAGAAAGCGTCATCTCCTCTCATGTGATTTACAGCCTCTGAAGACCTGCTGGGAGGTCTCTATCAGTCAGTTCCAAATCAACAGCAACAAGGTGAATTGAGTTGAGTTGCCTCCTTCAGAAGGCTGAGACCTCCTGTCCACATTCTCGCCAGGTCTTCTTTGAAGCAAAGCAGAAGAGGTAGAAGAACAACAGGCTAAGGGCAACTGATACTTCTCCAGAGAGTGAGGGCTTCCTTTCAGAGGCCTTTGCAATGACCCGGTCCGGGGGCTGCTCCAGGGGAAGGTGTTCTCCCGCTGTGTTGGCTCCGGAGGAAGGTCTGCTTGACCTTCTGCTCCTGAGCCCTCTCCATGTGGTCTGGCGTCTCTCTTACCTCATCTCTTCTTCCTTGCTTGTTTAAACTCTTTCATATCTCAGAAGAGCCAGACTCTAGACACCCTTCTAATGTAACTTTAATGTAACAAAGACAATTCATTCCTCTATGGGATTGTAACCACAGATAGAAAAGGTTAGGATTTACAGTATATAACTGGGGGAGCGGTGCGTTGGGGCCGTGGTACATTTCAGTCCTTAATACCCAACAAGCTCTTTAAACTGGAAAGCTGGGTGCTCTCCTGACACCCAGGGGCCCCACAGGTGCCCATGTAAGTGTGGTACCACCTCTCCCACCTTCCAGTGCTTTGCACTGCCATGGCCTCTGGGCTCCCACTGGGACCCTCGCACCCTCTGCATCCTACACACCTGACCCTCCACCTCCTGTTCCAGACTCACTTAGGCTGCCCACTGCCTCCTCTGTGCAAAGACAGCCCTTTCTAGAAGAGCTCCTTCCCCCTGATGTGGGCACACTGGACCGCCGCCTGCCTGGTGTACAAATCCAGCCTGTCTGCTCACAGCTGTTGCTGCATTGTCTCCAGGTCTTGCTCACTTCATTTCTGGCCTCTGGCCTGTCCATACCCCCCCTTAACTCCCCTCCTCCCCAGGGGTCACCTTCTCCTGGAATCCTGCCTCTGGGCAGTGTCTCTCCCTCCCTGACACTTTCCCAGAATGCTTTAAGATAAGTCTTGTGGCAACATCCTTCCAGGCACTTGGCCACTGCCTCCTGTTGGACATGTCCAGGATCCCATGAGTCCACCGTCCCTGGAGTCACAAGCACAACAGCCCTTTCACTGAGCGCCAGCCATGGTGGGAACCCGGGATATGCTTGCTCCAAGGATGAATAAATACACAGGGGCGGGGGAATGAATGAATGAGGATGTGCTCACTTGGTTAGACATTTCAAGACTTGAGCAGTTACATAAAAGGAACCAGATCCTCTCACTGATGTTCACATGTAGTTATCCGACACCCCAGCGTCTCCCAGTGCCTGGGGCATCCAAGGAGGAAGTGCAGCTGAGTTTCCAGCCCCGCCTCAGGCTGCCCTGAGCTACCTGTGTAACCTGTGAGCTAGCAAGACCAGCAACACCAAGACGGGAACATGTGAGAGAGACAAATTCTTGCCTCTCTCACGGATCAAGGGACTCTCCCTCTGGGAGTGGGTCCTGCTGTCCCAGAGGCCCCATGCTCCTTGAACCTTGGGAGTCTTCATTCATTGCAGGGCGTGAATTTCACCTGCTTGACGGCAGTCAGGTTGTTTTGAGACCCAGATCAGAAATGTGGGCAGTGACGCCTGGGAGGGCTGGGACTCAGCAGCAGGGCCGAGTTCTTCCAGGTCGTAGGCGTTTTCTGACTTTGACAAGGTGCAGGCTTATCTCTTTTCTATCTCTCCTTTCAATGGAAAAGATTTCCCTTCTCTTTCTTCTACTTTACACAGACTGTTCGTTCACCGTTTTTACTGCAGTATTATTCCTTCTAAGAGTGAATAACTCAGCGTGCAACGTAGAAATACTAACAAGCTGATCAAAGTGTTCTCATGCCCCACTCCACGTGCATTCCGGGAAAGTCAAGAGGAGGAAGGTGAACACCTCCATTGTGCAGGTGGTGAACACCTGGTCAGCACCCAGTTCTCCTTCCAGCTCTGCCTCCTGCTCTATTACTTTGGGAGGACTTAGGACTTATGAGCTTGGAAATTGCATTTCCCTAGATGGCTCCTTAGAGGCAAGAATGACAGGAAGTGGGAGAGCTTCACTTAAAGTGTCATCAGGAGAGGGGACTTCACCAAATCCTCACCCAGCGTGGGCCCACTTGCTTTAGACATGTTGTCGGGAGGGGTTATTCTCTGAAAAGAAACGTCACCCTTGGTAAGGGTGGAGGGTTCGAGAAAGAGAGGAAGATGGACTGACACGGTAGTGGCCACAATGGACTTGAACATGGTGGACACTGTGAGCATGGCCCAGGGTGAGGGAAGTTTCCCGTACGTTGTTCAGAGGGTCGCTGTGAATCATTGTAGTCTTGACGGCAGTTAACAACAGACCTTGGCCTTTGTGATCACTGGACACATCAGTACCTCCTGCAGAGCAGAATTCCTGGTGGAGGAGGCAGCTGGAGCGCCCTGGGCTTGCAGAGGGAAGGACAGAAATCGGTCTGGAATCCCATGAGTTCCAGAGATGAAGAGGGATCCCTTCTACCAGGGCAGACGGATACACTTCTGGCCCGACAGCGCCGCCTCCTGTCTGCCTCGAGTCATGCAGACAATGGTCCGTCACAGAAAAGCTGGGGTGGAGGAACATTAGGCTTCCATAAGCAGCAGTTCTTAACTGGGAGAATAGGGCCCTTGAGATGGTACGCAGGCCTCTGAAAGTATATGCACAGTTTTCTAGGGAGAGTATCCACAGTTACATTTGCTTTTCTAAAGTCTGTAACCCAGAAGAATCTAGTAAACACTTGGGTTTTAGAGTATAAAGCAGACTCCCTTGACTGTTAAATGACTCTGCCCCCCGCTGTGGGCTCACAAACCCACAACTCCTCAGTATATGCATGTGGGCAGGACCCTGGGTAGAAGAAGCTTGGTTTTCAGATAAGTGGCAAATTGGGACAGGCCTGTTCTTTCAGTACTAGAGGCTGGGGGCACAAGCAAGATCTGAAAACTAGAGCAGGTTTTACCCCCCAAAAGGGAAAGAAATGGAAAGGGTCCAGGAAGAACCTCAGAGCTGTGAGGGATCCTCAGTCTGACTGTCCTGTGTCACCGGAGGGTGGCACTGGGACCAGTGAGTGAAAGTGACCCTAAGGCAGTTCCTGTTGCTATCATGGGGTTCCGCTGTCTCTCTTCCCCTCTCTCTCCTGTGGGATAGTGTAGATGGAGTTCACTAGAGCAGACCATGCCCAAACTAGTTACAGCATGTTACTGGGCCCACGCTGGGTGAGGATTTGGTGAAGTCCCCTCTCCTGATGACACTTTAAGTGAAGCTCTCCCACTTCCTGTTATCTGCACTTCAAATCCATCTTTCCAGACATCTGGGGCTGCTCTCTAACCCTTCCAAAAGAACAGGAAGTAGCTCTGAAGACAAATCCCAAAGACCAGCTCCAAACCTTCCCGGGCAGCATCAGGAGAGCCCCTGAGGGTCCCACTCCCTCTGCAAGTCCTGCCAGGCTTGCTAAGAATACCCTGCCCCATAAGGACCTGACCCTGACCCCCTGGAAATTCAGCTAGATCTCCAGCAGAGGGAATAAATAGCGCGGAAACATCTCCATTTCCTGGAAACTTCTTCAGAGCCAACAGTAAAAGTTGACACTCTGACTGCATGGGGTGTGACTGGGAAATGGGACTGGAGTTTAAGCATCTGGTTGCACTTGGGCATTCTCCAGTAGCCACATCCCTAGGGAGCTCTCATGGCCTAGTGGTTAAGGGGTTGCGCTGCCAACCCAATGGCATGTGGTTCGAAACTACCAACTGCTTCATGGATGAAAGAGGGGCAGTCTGCTTCCATGTGATTATCCTGCCTCTGAAAACCCACTTGAGGCTCAGCTGTGAGTTGGTCCCAGCTCGATGTCACACAGCAGCAGTCCATGTGTCTAAAGCCTTTTTGTGGTATAAACACTCAAGCAGCCAGCTCCTACCCGAAGACGTCTTAGAAGAGGCTCTGATGAACCAGGTTTACAGATCATAGCGGCTGAAATGGTGGAGCTATTAGTCATTATTCTAATGAGCTAGGGCCCCAAGGGCACACACAAGACACGCTCACAGTCCTGCAGGTTCTCCCCAGAGGATTGTAGACTCCATATTGCCAATTGTTCTTCCTCATGCCTTTTAAACTTCATTTTCTCTGATTCAGTCTTTTTTTTTTAAAGTCATACACCCTCTTTATGCCACCTCCCCTTCTCTCTCTTTTTTTAAAGATTGCCTTCAAATTTCTTTCTTTTTGTTTTCTCTCTCTTTTTTAAAAATTAATTTTAATGAAAGTTTATAGAGACTTAGGGTTTCCAGTCATTCATTGTTGCACTTTTCTCACTTCCCAACCCCTCCCCCTCCATTCACTCTTCTCCTTGAAAAGTAAAAGAATAATTCCTTCATTGTTAAGCAATCCCTTCTCCCAAGTCCACTCCACTGTGCAGCCTTCATTCTGGACTCCTGTCATGACAATAACACCCAATCATATATCCCTTTTAAGCAGTTCTCTCCCTCATCTGTTTCAATGCTG